TCAATGAAAAGTAAAATTTTAACTTTTTTATTGACATGACATTTTATTCATCATCAATTACAAGAATCTTTGTTTTCCCTTCTTGCTTTACTTTTCCCACATGATTCATTTAACTATAGGATAGATGATCACTTATTATTGTTAATGCTCCTCCAGCACTCAAAGACTTTGATAGAACATCTGAGTTTATGCAATGATATTGAAGATATACCTAATAATGGATCCAATATATTAGTAGTGGTATTAGGTATGTGGAAAGTTTTCCACCTTCTTCCACTAACCGTTTTTCATGATTGAGCTAGATTGGATTAGAATTGAGCTGCTATTGAGCTAGAAACCAGAGTTGAATTGAAAACCAGAGTGGTTTTCAAAAAATTGGATGATTTTAAATGTAATATTAAAATAAGCTTAAAAATTTTAAAAAAACTAGAAAATTCAAAAATTAAATCCTATTAAAAGCTAACTTTATTTTTGAACAACTAACATATGTAAAACATGATTTGAAACCATTTTTTTATAAAGATGTTGACAATTATAGATGTAGATATAAATATTTTTGAGTCTACTCATATTTAATTTAACCAAGATTTACTTATATTTGACAAGTTATAAAATTATAATTTATCATATTATTAATTTACAATCATGTTATGTCATTTTATTAGCATACTATATATTTTTCTATATTTATTATATATATATATATATATATATTTAATATTATTTTTATTTAATTATTACTTCATTAATTCTACCATTGGTCCAATTCGATTAGACCATGCGAACTATAAACTGCTAACTTTTCTGGTTCAATATTCAGGTTGGTTCTAAAACTATTGCTTCACATATTAAAGGCATCCGTAGTCAAAGACAAAAACCAAACGAGTCATTTATATATATATATATATATACTCTCTTCGCTAAAAAATATAAGAAATTTTTAATTGAATCTTACCCCGCAATAAAATAGTTACTTATATTTAAACTAACATTATCTTTCAATATTTATCCGTATTTAATAAGATTTTTTTATCCTAAAATAAATATAAAGTGATTTATTCAATATGTGTATTTTAAAAAAAAGGCAATGATTACAACTTAAAAGATTGAAAATGCTTTATATTTTTTAATAAAAAGAGTATATAATATAAAGGACAAATAGTTCTAAATACATCCGAAATTAAAAGGATAAACAAAAAGGATAATTAAATCAAAGGTAGGTTGAAAGCTAAAAGAAGAAACTAAAACGCGGAAGACACACATCCGTGCTTGTACTCGTCTCAAATGCAAACTCCCAGTATAGACTGCATTGAACTTGGTGAGAAGAGAGCAAATATTCTTCAATCATTGAATTAGAACCTTTGTCAACAAAGAAGTTCAGCGAGCAAAGAAGATACGTATCCAAACAAATTTACAAAACCGATAGATACATATCTACATATATAGTTGAACACATAATTACTTTTTTATAGTTTAGTTAATTATCCCTCAATTTATATTTTAGTTTGATCTGATTTACAACTGGAAAATTATAAAAATTAGCAAACTAAACCTTGAAGAGGCGACTGAATTATAGACATGGAAAAGAATTTATCTCTCCAACAATTTTTATAAATTTTAGTTTTTAAAAATATATGTTTAATTGTAACAATTTCTGTTTGCAGTAATTAGTCTTAATTATCCTTTTAGTTGTCATGATTATTTACCTATTCCTTTTTGCTATTTTTCTTCTGTTTCTATTATATCATCTCTTTTCGCATCAAACTTACTGCATTTTAAATAAAATATATAACATGAAGTAGCTGGACAGAACTTTTAAAATTTAAGATAAATTAAAATAAAATTTAAATGACTAATTAATGGTAAACATAATATAGAGCTTTTAAATAATTATAATCTTTCCAAATAGATTAGATAAATAAATATCAGTGAGTTAGATATCATAGATAACATGAGGTGGAGACAAATTTTAAATTTTAGAATTAGTTAAAATTCATAAAAATAACAGATAACTTTTACATAATTATAACATTTTTCAAATGATATTAGATAAATAAATATCAGTGATTTAGATGTCATAGATAACACGAGGTAGAAACAAATTTTAATTATTCTTTTAGATAGTCAAAAATATTCATAAATATATATTCACAACCATGTAGATAAGAATTAAAAAACATAGCATGAAAAAATTACATTAGCTACGGGATCCAACATAAGATCATTATCATCATCATGGCAAGTGTACCATGTTGACATACTCATGAAATAAATACAATAATTTAGTAGTAGTTTTAGGGTGAAAGGAAATTCATTGATGAAAAAACTGTACAGAGGAGAGTTCAGTAGTATTTAGTTAGTTACTGCAGCTACTCCTTTTAGAGTCTCTAACCTTGAGGTATGCTCATAATATCAAATTATATCATAGGATAATACTATGACTATAACTTTAGGGAAAATTTCACCAAAGACCCCTGGACCAGACTTATTAAAAAAGAAAGCCCTTGAATTTTTTATATGCCATTGCAAATAAGAAGTACTAATGGACATTAAATTTCACAGGGAAATGATAATATTGCCTCTCATTAAAAGAAAAAAAGAAAAGATGGTTAGTTAGCTAAACCCAGTATGCAAACACGTAAAAGATAGATGACACATGTAGTGAAGCTTCCCAAACTTCTCTCCAAGACTTGAACTAAGGTGTATGAAGATCAATAACATTTTCATCACCATAGTTCTTACCCAAGAATCATTTGATAGAAGAGGAACCATGGGTGACATTCAAACAACTACTACAAGCACAACCACGTAAGTTAATTGTCTCTTGATTTTGATGGTTATTGTTTAAATCTCTATTTAAGCTAGGGAAAATTAGTGAAAGTTAATCTCTTAATTTAATAATCGTCTAAAGTCAGACCATGTTCAAAAGTTAGGTAAATTTTCAGATTGAGTTAGGTCCTTATAAATTAACGAAGTTAGAATTAGATGAGCCCTGTTGTTTGTTGCCCAAACAGTAGTGGTTAATTAGCCTTCTAAAGTTGCTCATTACCCAAATAGCTATTGTGAGCAGGTTAGGTTAGGGAGATGAACAAGTTAGGTTAGAGAAATGAACAAGTACTATTGTGAGTACGTGAATGAACAAGTTTGGGTATGTAAATTATGAACAAGTCATTAAATCAAAGTAAAAAAATAGGAATTGTAAATAACCCCATTTGAGTTGTTCATTTCCCCAACAGTAATGATTAAGTAGCCTACTAGAGTTGTTCATGATGTAATTTTATGAATGATAATGAACTTAATTTTTTTGTAGCGTAAAGAATAGTGAGAAAGGTGATCAAAGAGGAGTAGGACCCATTTTATAACTAATTTTGTACATCCTTTTAGAGCAAAACTTTATTCTTAAAGCTTAATATGACCTGTTTTACTGGCTCAAATTTCATGGTCAGATTCAAAATATAATTTTCAAAAACTACCACACAAGAAGGCAACGTCAAATATGGATGAAGCTGTGTTTGGAACTCATAGATTAACTCAATGTTTAAATATCATGCATGGTTTTGGACACTCTCAGCCTTTTTTTGTTTTAAATGAAAATGGGATCAATATATTAAAAAAAAGTAAAGACAAATTACAGACAAAATAGGAGTGAAGTTTGGGCAGAAATGATCCTCAACATTCCTAAGCCTCTAATCCAAAATTGATTGAGCGCGTGAATAATTGCTTCGAGAGCAATAGCTTCACTAACATAATGTTTGATGATTTGAATTTAGATCAAATTCCTTATTTGAATATATAAAAATTTATGAATTTAGTTTTGAATCAAATTCAAATCCATCTCTTATTACATTTATTTTGTAATTTCAAATTTCCCTATATCATTTAAAATTCTAGCAGGCACTTGAAACTTCTTCTCTCATATACTCTTTATATTTTTACTATTGATACCTCTGTTTTATTATCTATCATCGGTTGAAAAATATAAGTAAACTCATTACTTTTAATTTTCATTTTTATTCTGAATCTCAACTCATTTCTTTTCTTCATTTGAATTTTTTAAAAAAAAAATCACCTAAAAGAAAAGATTTTGATTAAATAAATTTTAAATGTAAGATTTGAAATGCAAGATCTGGAATCTAAAATCAAATCCCAATCCATCCATCCAAACACTATCTAGGAGCATTGTTCTCTTTCTTACAGACACCCAGCTATTCCCAAGTTTGGTCGCTTCTTCCTATAATAGCAGCACTGATACATATTCCCTCCGGCCAAGCATTCTTTCATATATCCTGAGGAACAGCCTTGTACAAAGTAATTTCCGCATTGCTGTGTTGATTTGTTATTATAAGGATTAAAATATTAATTATTAAATATTTTTTAATTATATTTGTACAATATTATGTTTGTTAATATACTATGTTTATTTTTTTAATCTTTTTTGCCAAGATTTTTTAAAAAAAGTATTTAACATTGTATTTCTCATACATGCAACTGTAACGTATTGGCTTAGGGAGGTTTATTGTAAATTTTCAAAAGTTAAGGAAGCTATCTTAGTATCTGAACATAAAGTTCCAGAGATTATGTATAATTCAGCCAAATAATTATTTAAAAAAGTTATTTTTTTTTTTAGATTCAATATTTCTGGGGCTCATACATACTAACAGAATCTAATTAACTACCAAGGAGATCGGCTCATCTCTTAAGTTTCAATTAGAGTATAGTAAACAGAGAAATTTTTAGATACATCAAGTGGCCCACATCATTTATAATCTGTCTCATAAAAATATAACATTTAAATATCATTAAATATAAATTAATTTTTACATTAATGATAATAGACAAAAAAAATTTATAAAATTAAATATGCATTATATTATAAGAATAAAATCAATTAAACAAAAGAGGCGAAAACCCTAACAACTAAAGGTCAAAAATGAAAACCCTAACAAATCTCTAGCTCACGTTAGATCGATTACATATGGAAACTATTCTTGTAAATTGTTTTATCTGACTTTTTTGTTCCCTGATGAAGCTTCTCGAAGCACGACCTCAAGAACATGAGGAGGCAAAGAGTGAAGCCATTGGAAACCAGAGGCGCAAGACAGTGCAGCTTGAGCCAATGCATGAGCCGCAACATTGAAGTCACGATTCACCACTGTAACTCTCACCTCCCAGCTTCTCTCCAACAATTGCTGAATCTCACTCACCATCGTCCAATCTCTCTCTTGTGGCCTTTTCGAGCTTTCTTCCAGACTTCCCGGATGATTCATCGCCACGATCGCCGCCGTGGGGTCCGTCGTCTCGATGACGAGCTTTCTGACGCCGAAGTCCCATGAGGTCTTGAGCCCCAAGAGGCAGCCCCAGAGTTGAGCATCGCCGAGACCACGCGCGTGGTTGGTCGCGTGGCGGGTACAGTTATTGCATTCAAATGTGGAGCAAGTTTTCATCATGAAGCCTTGTAGGAAGGTTCCTTGGTGGTTTCTCAAGAGTCCTCCGCAAGCCACCACCTGAACGCCGCACGAGGTGGTGCAAGCTCCATCGACGTTCACTTTGCACCACCCTTCCTCCGGCGCCTTCCACGTCATCACCTCATTCTCTCCCCTCCTCTTCTTTCCGATCACCAGAGCACCACTCTTCTTCATGTCTTCAATTTTTTTTTCCTCCCTAAAGCAAGAGCTCTTCCCAGGCCACGAGAAAGGAAAGGAAAGGAAAGTATGAATTAGATCAGTTAAAAATAATCAGAATTTGAAAACAAAAATTAGATTTCTCCTTTCTTTGAGAAGCTACCTTAAATAGATTTTGAAAATAATATGAAAACGGAAGATACTGAAAACATTATAAAAATGAAGAGATAATTTAAGATATCATAAATTTTTAAAAATAGTTAAATAATAAATCTTGTTTGTGAAAAAAAAATCCACAAAAATACTATAAAATCTAAAAATAACTAGTAATCATTTTTATTATAAAAAATAACTAATAAGTTAGAAATTTTATAAAAAATATTTGTTTTATAAAATCTAAAAGTAACTAATAATTTTTTTTATTATTGTAATTAAATATAAAATAAAATATTTTTTATAAAATCTTTATAAAATAATTTTTTGATAAATTTCCAACCTATTTATAAGTTACTTATTTCTAGTCTCAAATAATAAACAGGACCATAAATGACTCATTTGGTTTTTGCCTGCTAATCATTGTTGTTGAATTTTTAAGTTGATTCTTTAAGTTAAAAAATCGTGCCAACTCATTTATATACTCAAATTAAATGCGAATTTGGTTTATAAAAGTGATATGATCTAATTTAAAAAAAAAATAAAACTCAAAAAGTAAAAAATAACATTCACTTTTTTTAAAAAAAGAACAGAGAGATGAAAACAAGAATTACCAAAAGTAAGTTGCCCAATTTTAAAATTTCTATGTTGATTATGATAATCTATCAATATATAATTTCAATGATTTATATTTAAAGCATATTTAAATCAAATTATGGTTATATTTATATTTTAACAATTTAATCATTTACTTTTAATGATTATTTATTAATAAATATAGATTCTTACAAATTTATGATTCCAATTTGAATTTACATTCTCACAGTGAGTTTACTTGCACTATCGAATTTGACGACCTTGCTGCCAATGCCGTTTTGTTTCTACTTTCTACCACACTTGCTAAACTCGTCCAATATGTGAACCTAGGTTTGAACCATGCAAGTTTTATTTTATCTTTTAAATTTACTTTTCAAGTGTTATGATTAAATATCTTAACGTTAACTTTGATCTTCTTGGATAATTTTGAAGTTTTCTTGAGTGCGTGTCATTCTTGAGTACGTGTTGGGTTAAATCGGATGGTCACAATGAAGGCACTTACGATTATTTATTTACTTTGTTTCAAAATCTGAATTTTAATGGTTTTTATTTAAGTCTTTTTAAGGGCTCTGTGACCTGACTTAACGACTTTTAGGGATATATAAAAATTTGTATACACATTCTAAAAATGCCCAAAAAAATTTTAAATTCTGGAAATTGATTAAAACTAATTTTAAATATCTTATTATCTTTTTTTATTTTACTTGATTTATATTTAAATTTCAAATATTAATTTAATTTCTTTTTGAAAAGATATTGGATATGCTAAATGTCAAAGATTTGGATTCTTGAAGCTAGATACGCTTTGCTCATTGATATAGATTTTTTCCCTATGTTCAGGAAACATAATAGTACATTCTGAATATTCACTTAAAATCAATTTTTGGAAAGAAATGTGTGAAAAAAAAATCGGGTGAATAAATCTCTTTTATTGTAATAATATAATGTTTTATTTTCAAAATCCACTACATCTTTCTTTTAATAGCAAGTTAATTTTTTTTTTTGGCGTGATAATAGCAAGTTAATTGACGACGCATGAATTTTAACTTTGAATTTTAAATATTCTCGACTAAGTTAGATAAACATTTTTTTGGAAGGTACCTTTTAGTGAAGGGAGATAAATACAAAAAATAATAGATAATGAAATGCAATATTTAGGAGGACAATAAAAAAAAGTTGAAAAGTAATTAAGATAACTCAATCTTTAAAAATAAAAAATGGAAAATAAATAAATGATTGAAAAATTATTGAAAAGCTTTAATTTTTATCGAATCAAATGTTAATCTTTATTTAGATTATGTTTTCACAATATCATAAGAAAAAAAAAGCATAAATTAAATCATATCCTCCCTGCAAAGAATCTAAAAATCTCCTCCTTAAATATTTAATTTATTTTATTTTAAAATAAACTTGAATGATTCTACTCGGTATTTATGTATGGATATTTAAGTAAAAATAAATTAATTATCTAATATATATATATATATATATATAAGTACATATCATCAAGCATAGGTACGTAGAAATTAAAGGGGAAGAAAAGAAACAAGAAGATGAAAATGAGGACGATTGCTGTGTTGATGTTGATTTTGTGTGGGGTTATTAGTGAAAGTGATGCTTCATTAAGATTGAGAAGCCATTGTTACTATGAAAAGAAGAACCAACAGAGAAAGCGTCTTATTCACAATGGCCTTGGCTTGACGCCTCCTATGGGGTACGCTCTGCCTTCGTTATTTTTTTTCATTCACATCTTGAAATTAAATAAGGGATTGTTTAGTTTTAGTTCTTTTTTTTAAAAAAAATTGTGATACATATTTTAAAATTATTTTTTAAAACAAAATAAAATGAAAATTTGTTTAGTTTTTTAATTAAAAAAATTTTTATAATTAAAAAATAGGTTGATAGTGATAACTGTAGGGGTGATAGTTTATAATAGAAATTGGTTAAGTTAACTATATTTTTTCAATAATAAAATGTATATTTTAAAGACAAGAAAAACAAAATGAAAACAATTTTAAGATATTTCCATTTTCTAAAAAACAAAAAAAAGAATAGTTTTGAAAATAATTAAATCCAAAACATTGAACCAAACATGTTTTTTAATTTTTTTTAAATTTTTTTAAAAAAACAATTTTTAAAAACTGAAACCAATTAACCCTAAAGCTATAGTTTTGTATAATATGTGGAATCTAAGGCCTTGTTTGTAAATTATTTTGTAATACAGTTTTTAGTTTCGTTTTTCAAAACAAAAAAAAAAGATGTCTGGTTATGTTAATTCAGAAATAATTTTAAAATTAAAAAAAGGCTATAATAATGGCTGCAGGCAATTTATGATGATGGTTTATGATATAAATTGGTCAAACTAACTATACTTAAATGTATGTTTTGAAAACAAAAAAAAATGAAAACAAGTTTAAAATATTTCCAAAATAACAAATAAAACAATTTAATGTAAAACATTTATCTAAATGAGTTTTTAAATTTTATTTTCAGATTATTTTTTCTAATGTTATTCTTTTCCTTTAATATAATGGCATTAGCTTAAACTTCTATGGACTCCTATATATGTACGTACCAATAAATCGTCCGTAGTATATATATTGGGAACCAATCACAATTTGTCATGCTTTTTTGATTTTGTTTTCATTTTTTTATTTTTAGAAATTATTTTTGAAAATCTTTTAGAGTTAAACAAGATTTAGACTTAATAACTGAATAAACCATAAACCATAATATCGTTAAGAACTGAATCAATATAAAGTAGTATTTAATTAATACAAATGTGATCATTTGGTAAATAATAAACACTTTTGCATTACCTTTCGGTAAATTAAAGAATCTGAATTTGCAATGTTTTATATACTACAAAACCAAATGTTTTACAATAAGCTAATATTTTTATTTTTACTTCAATCAATTGGAGTAAATTAATTGATTCGTCCAGCTTAAAATGGATTATTGATTAAAGTTTTTCTTTTTATTTAACATTAAATTTTTTAAAAAAATTGTTCTCTAAACATACATATAGCTAGGGTCATATATAAATACTAGAAGAAATATACTAGTTTCTCTTCAATTTTATAAAATTTTACTGAATGTATAATTTAAAACATACTTGTCTGTATATTCATACCCAAAAAAATAAAAGATATCTGTATATAACATATTTTGAAATTTATATTATATCTTCTCTCTTTCTTTCTTTTTTGGTTGCCATATTCTGCTTTTATCTTAATTAGTTTCTCAATTTTAAAATTCATTGTAAAGAGGGTCAATAATATATATATATATATATATATTGACTGCTCTTTACTATTTTTTTTATTTTTTAAAGGTGGAATAGTTGGAACCATTATTGGTGTAACATCAACGAGACAATCATACGAAATGCAGGTAATTCAGTATTTGAAACTTACTAAATTAATGTTTTCTAAGTAATATGTTCAAGTTAGTAATCTCTTATAGCATTTAAAATGTAAAATATTCCGTATTTTTTATCACAAAAAATATTGTGTATTTGATAGCATGACAAAAATTAAATTTTAGGTCTCTATCTCAGTCACAAAACGACAGTAAAGTAAAAGGCTTGTTTGCTTGTGTTTCAATTTTTTTTTAAATATTGTTTTGTACTATAGCTTTTAAAATTATTTTTAAAATAAAAATAGATTTGATTATTTTAGGGAGAATTACAGTTAGGTGGGAATTAATTACTGTAAGGTCCATTAACAATTGAATTAAACTGCATTGACAACTAATTGTGTTATCAATACAGTTTAATTTAGTTATTAATAAACCTTATAGTAATTAATTTTTTTATGTGGGACTTCAATATAATTGTCCCATTATTTCAATCTATAAACAGTTTGAGTTTAAAAAAAATCAACCAATAGTAGTGGCGGGAGCTGATGACAATGATTGATCATATAGTTCCTAATAATTAAATGTGATATATGCTTTGAAAATTAAAGGAAGAATGGTGTGAGATGTTTTTAATTTTAAAAATAAAAAAATGATAATAGTTTGAAAAACATTTAAAACCGAAACATTATCCCTAGGAGGTTTTTTTAAAATAATTTTTAAAAATATTTTTTGAAAATAAAATCAAACCCACCCTTGATTTGGATCCCCTTGATATCTCTTCAAAAAATTTAAATTTAATTTTATACTCCCTCTGTTCAAAAATGTAAGGTATTTTTTGAGGAGTTAAATATTCAAAATGTAAGACTTTTTAGTCTCTCAAGATGTAGTTATTGCCTTTTTTTAAAGTA